TCCCTCCCAAACCTTCATATTTATAATAGCTAGATAAGATAAAGATGTAGTTATTTAACTATGTTTGTATAAGTACAGAATTTATCATTGATCCCAACACTGGGCTGAGACAGTCTTATAGTAAAGAGGATTCGTATTACCATATACATGCATACAGTGATTAACATATACTTTCTAGTAGTACTGATAATTGTTTACCTACTAATTTATATGTAAATAATATTTTTATTTAAATCTTACCCCTAATAAATTCGTAAAAAATGGTGCACACTGTTGGACATTCGGGCGTGCGGGTGTCTGTATGGGCGTACGAGTGTACGTGTGCGTGTGCGTGTGTGTGTGCGTGCGTGTGTGTGTGTGTGTGTGTGTGAGTGCGTGCGTGCGTGCGTGTGTGTGTGTGTGTGTGTGTGTGTGTGTGTGTGTGTGTGTGTGTGTGTGCGTGTGTGTGTGTGTGTGTGCGTATGTGTGTGTGTGTGTGTGTGTGTGTGTGTGTGTGTGTGTGTGTGTGTGTGTGTGTGTGTGTGTGTGTGTGTGTGTGTGTGTGTGTGTGTGTGTTTGTGTCTATATTTGTGTATGTATGTATGTGTGTATATGAACGGTATTTATTTATATCATTAACATGAGCATGTTTTTAATATCGTCATAGTTCATAGACTTCAGATATTTGGTTACTAAGCTAAACTAATTCGATAAATATTGTTTTAATTCCTATTGTCACCTACCAGATTTTTTTTTATTACGATCATAAAAAACTGTTGTATCTTTTAAACCAGAGCATACAATACATATTTACATTATTAAAATCAATTTTTATGTATAATATTTATTATATTTGACGCAAATCATTATACATCTTGTTTGTACTGTACTCATACGGTTTGCGTTGATATTATATAATACCTACATAGCTTTTTAAACATTTGATTTGTTGGTAAAAACTAACCAAGTCAAATATTGAGCTTCAATTATATCCCAAGTGAAATAAATGCATTGTGTAAATAATTTTCTGTTAAAAATTAAGAATTTATAATACCTATTAAGCAGCAAACATGGTAGTAGTATCAAGAAACAAGAAATTGTTATATAAATTCTTTTTCTTGTGATTTGTAAATTTTAAGATTTCCTACAAAGAACTTGGCAACCATATAGATCTCAGTTATTGCTTTGGCGGAGTCGTAACGACGCATATTCATAATATTGGACTTGGCTCTTGTTTCACATTTATGTTTTTGATGAAATATAATATATAACAACATTTAAACAATCATCGTCATCATATCAGACGTTAACTGTCCACTGCTGAACATAAGCCTTCCCCAGGAGTGGAGCTTTGCCAGTTAGTAGTTAGTTTTACCAGAGGGATACTTTGTACAAAAGTCGTTTGCTTGGTTACCTTTGCCCCATTCGTATTTCTACCGTAAAGCAGTTATGTTTGCATGGCTGTGTTTTGGTTTGAAGGGTGGGATATGGCGTAAATTTACAGGGTACAAAGGAATAACATCCGAGTCCTCAGGAATGGCAACGCATGGGGGGTATCATGGGCGAAACAGTATACTCTGTTATGTCCATGGTACTGCTCATGTCTATAGGCGACGGTTACCGCTTCCCATCAGGTGGGCTGTTAGCTTGTTTGCCATTCCAAGTTGTATAAAAAAACAATAGTTGCCACGCTTGGCAGTTGGGTTGGCAACCGCAGTAGGCTTTTAGTGATGTTTTAAGAGGGACGCTGCTGCCCATCCCTCGACAATTAAGTTCCTTTAGTCACCTTTTATGATACTCACGGAATAGGAAGGGGTGGCCTATTCTATGCCGAGACCACACGATAGGTAAGTCAAACAATGCTACTATATAAATTAAAACAATTCCGAACAATAAATTATTTTTTTCTGTACATACAAGCTTTTTGTTTCATTTGCAATATACGAGTAAATATAATAATTGTATCCAATTCGTTAGTGTATACAGAAACTGGGTAATAATACAGGTACCAAAGCCATAGTAAAAGAGTACAGTTAGCATAACACGACTAAAATATATTATTTAAATTTATTTTCCTGGTCTTGATTATTTATTTCTTCATTATTCAATGTTTACTGATGGATATAGGCCTTTCTTATTGAGTGCATGGCAAATTACTATCGAATGTCTCTGAAATGCTCAAAAAGTAAAAAAAGAAAGTTAATATTTATACGATAATTTCGTCTTTTGTACCATATTTTATTGGTCAGTAAAATTTTAAATAAAAGGAATGAGTCTAAGCTCTCCTTCGTCTCACATCCATAGACTTCTGACAATACTTTATGGGCTGTATATAGTATATAATATACGATTAATATTATAGAATTTATTTAATGCAAGAGACGAAACGGGAGATATTTCATAAAATACGCTCCGACCACAGCTGCAAAAGACAGCTTGGTAATGAATAATAAAAAAATGTGTAAAGTATTAAGTAGTACAGTTATTATAATTTTAGTTGACAATATTTATGAGAAGTTAGGCTTCTGAGTACAGAGACATATTCAGAGTCGAGAGTTACTAATTACTTTTTACAGTTAAATATTTGTCTATAGTTATATATATGCATCACGGGACTTTTATGGACTATTCTTGCTGTATTTGTTGTTTTCAACAACTGTTTAGACATCGCTAAAAAAAGAACATATGTTTTAAAAAATGAAATATTTATTTAAAGATAATACTGATTTTTATGCTAACCGTACACGAGACTCGATCAACCATGAAACAAAATTAAAATGAGAGCAAAATTGGAATTGTTACGTAGTTCGTCGTAATGGTAAACCAATTTTCGACATCATCGTCACCAGCTCCGATAGCCGTGATCGTCTAGTGGTTAGGACCCTACGTTGTGGCCGTAGTAACCCAGGTTCGAATCCTGGTCACGGCAGTGAAAACTGTCGCGGCGGAGCTTATAATTTTATTACTAAGTTTTCTATTAAGCTTATAAGTTTCATTCAAGTCATTAAGTTATTTTATATTGATGTGCACATTTCAAAATTTATTTAACCGTCAGTAAAAAAGATTTATCTGAATTGGTGTCTATGTTACGCGACATGTATGTATATGTTCGTCAACATAAATATCAAAAAGATTTATATATATATATATATATATATACATACATGAATACATTAAACAAATATTACTTACATATACAAATGTATATCATAAAAAACATACGTATCAATGTAATATATGCAGACACGATTATATACTATAATACCTATTAAAAATGATAGACATCAAAGGTGATGATGAAGATGATGAACTGTTACCACAGCTTTTTAAAAATATATAAGGATTCAGACTTTTTGATATTTTTATAAGTTGTTTAATGAAAACAAGTAAATATTGTTCTGAGAATAGAAAATGTCTATTGATTTTGCTCCCGTATTGACGCCTTAAATATTTTGTCATTAAGGCTATGGAATGAGCTCTCTGCCGAGGTTTTCTCTCGAGACTACAGTATGGGATTCTTCAAAAAGGGTAGATTAAGGTTTCTTCAGGACCGGCAACATGCAAGTAATACCCCTAGTGTTACAGGCGCCCATAGGCTACAGTGTTACTATCAGACGGGCTGTATGTGCTTGTTTGCCACCTTTGTGGTATAAAAAAAATATGCAATAGTCTCTTTTTCATTATTTCTTTTTCATTATATTCGTAATAATCATTTCAGCCATTATGCGTCCACTGTTGGCCATAGACCTACCCCATAGACCACCTGCATCCGCTGACTTCCTACAATGCATTTGAGATCGTCTCTCCATATTAAAACTTGAAAATTTATTTAATTGTAATTTGTAACCTATATAATTTATTATTAATACGTAAATATGTTGACATTTATATAATATACAAGACGATACAAGTAAAATAGTATTAGCATAGCATAGTAGCACAATTAAATAAATTTTGTATGCCAGATTCAGGTGAAAAGTGTGAACAATATTTAAATACTATGTACCATCCTTTATACCACTTTTTAAACAAAATAAAGCTATTTGTATATAGTGGAGGGTCGTCCTTCACTGCGCTTGCCGGTGCAGGGTCGCCACTCAAGAACCTTTTTGCCCCATCGGTTGTTATTTTGTATGTAGTTTCGTTATTATAAATCTTAATATTTTTTTTTGACCCCTGTGTGGGTGTAGTCGTATATTTCTGTAAAATAAAGTTTCTTTCTTTCTTATATTGTACAAGAATTTGTTACTATAGTAACTTACATAATAATATGAGTGTATTGTCTGCAACTTAATCGTAGTTCCTTAACATGGTCGATCGCCAACAACTAATGCACAAAGTATTGCGAGCTTTTAATACAACCTAGTTCATCCTAAACTTTTTCAATTAACCTTTTGAACTAAACCTACAATTGTTTACGATTCATGGGACAGTATATATCCTTGTAGAGACTACGGGGAGAAAACTTCTCAAGAATCCCCCGTAGTCTTTCAGTAGTATGTTTAAATAGATGGAATGGGAAATAAAGTTTTACTCGAAAAAGTAAATGTTACAGAGTCAAGAAAAACTCATAGAAAGTGAAATAACACTTTGTTTTTAAATTATTTACTTAAGAAAAAAAAATATAAGTACTCAAGACTATAATTTATAATAGGGTAGTCACAGACTTATTTGGTGCCGAGCCTAGAATCTGAGCGAAATTTAGCAAAGACATGTCTGAGAGTACATAATGTAATTTTACCTTTTTTAAGGAGCCACTGGGGGAGAGCTTGAAAATAATTTTAAATACTCCAATAGTTTGAGGGGGGGATTGTTAGTAATGTGGAGTACACAACATACCCAATCAGTTCGACCTCCACGTGGTCCCCCCTGGAAACCATCCTGCGGAATTCCAGGTGTATTAATCACGATGGGCTAACTGACCTACTTTTTCATGCTTACCTATCATCCCTCACTGGTGCCTCGCCAGTGTATACCGTTAGCGCGGGCGGGGTTACCATTGCATTATCATTACAGATGGGCAAAGCACCGGGTTTAAACCCGGTGCTTTGGTAAAAACCCAATAAACACCCATAAACTCCCATAATCACCCAAAAAAATAGGTTTTTACGTATTTTTTTGAATATATGTAAGTAATACCAATAAATTATTTTTATAAATTGTATTGATCAATTCTACAATATTAAATAAAACGTTAACTAATAATATTTCAGGAAATTTTAAAAATCTATATATAATAAAATGAAAGTAATTAATTTTCAGTGTTTTCATGTTGCAGTTGATCAACATGTTGGCCTTTTGCTTCCCGTAGATACTTTAAAATTTCTTCATAACACCTCGTTCGCACACATGGCCGTATATATTTAAATTCTTGAGCCACTAACAGTCCGAAATACTCATTTCTTTTATCCTCTTCTCCATAAATTAAGCATTTAGAACAGTTTGTTTCTTCTTTCAGTAAATTTTCTTTTACTTTATCCTCGTTTTTTTTTTTCTTTGTTGCGACAACGCTGGGTAAATCATCTGGACACTGGGTCTCACTATCGCCAAATATATTTGGAGATCGGCTTCGGCTACGGCTTGGCAGACATTTTTTTCTTTCTACAATTTTAAATTAAATTTATTAGAATAAATGCTTCGAACACACGCGATCTAAGTACCTTTTGTGTTTATTATACCTTACCTACCTAGGTATAAAAAGAGTACTTACGTAGATTTTCTTTTATTAACTGTTTTATACGAAGATCTTGATCTCTCAAATTAGCATCCATTTTACTTCCAGTGATTATCAACTAAATTAATAATCCACAAAGTATTAAATAACGTTTTTATGAAATATTTAGCACAAAAACAATACCCTTTAAATATCGATCGTCAGTAACTGTGGCTGACTTACCTATATTCTAGCAAGCAGGACTGCCAGATGTGAAGGGGAAATCCCCAATAAATTGTTGCATGTGACTGATGATGTGAGCATGTTCGTTTCATAATAAAAATGTTGCCAGGTAACCAAAAAGTCATATGTTTTTGTGCGAATTACGATCATAATCTTTACGATCGTACATTAAAAAATAGACAAATAATAGTATGAGTACGATTTAAATCGTATATCTGTCAACCCTGCTAGCAAGACAGCGACAAAATCACGTTGCATAACAATGTAGCCCAAGCTTATATCTTATGAAATATACGGAAGAGATACGGACTTAGAAAAAACAGAAATGTTGTTCTTTGTGGAAGTCATTGATGAAATTCTATGTATTTTAGCCCGCAAACTTTCTTCAAACAAAAACAGCGCCATCTAGTATCGAGTTCTGTAATTATCTCTTTGTTTATGGATTTGAAGTAAGACCGCCACGCATGCAATACATTATGACTGGGGATTCCCCTATTCGTCGACGCTGAATATGAGGCGACGACAATCACTGTCAAACGTGTTCACTATTACTCTGACTCTGGTAACGTGACTTCCTGGTAACGTGTTAGGTAGGAAAAGCAGTAAAAAAGTGCATATTAAGGGAGCAGATTTGAAATAATATTTATACTTAACAAGAAATAATTAAAGGTAAGTGGATTTTTGAATGATACAATTATATCATGATCACTTAACAATTTTAACTTAAAATTAGATGTATTATTACAAGCTTTTATTTAGCTTGCGTTATGTAAATAAAAGTATGTAGGTATGTTCGTATGTTGATGCAATTATCCTCAATCCTCAACCGACTGGGATAAAATTTTCCATACACGTTTATTTTGGATGATAGTGCATAGTTAGCTGAGAGTCGTCATTGGATAATAATGGTGGATAGCCTAAGATGTGTACTAGATATTTATTTTTAACATAATATGCGTAAGTACCTAATCGAATTAAAGAAGTTGCTGAGAAAAATACAGAACAATACGATAATAAACTAGCGTCTGCGTTTAATCCTCCGAGATGTAATTTTACAAAGGTTTTTTGTATTTATTTTATTATTTTTTTAATAAATTTATTGTAAATAACAAGAAATAATCATTGTAAAAAAATAGGCACTTCATTGTTGAATTTTCGTCAGACCAACTAATCATCGTTCACTTTTTTAGGTTCAATGGGGAGACCTAAAGATTTACGCATATGGGAGCACTACCGTACTTTACCAAACAAGTCTGTTTCTTGCAAGCTTTGTAATAAGGTCTACAAATTCAGTAATGCTGCCAAAATGCTTCAACATCTTATCACTTGTCCAAAATCTCCAGAAACATTAAAAGACTCTATGAAACTTATAAAAGATAGCTCGTCCAAAACCAAAATGTCTGGACTGTCAGAGATAGAGACAAATGATTCTTTTATAAGCCCCTCGTCGTCTGCTAACACTACAATAAATGCTGAGTTTCAAGACACCGATGATCATATAAAAACAGAATTAGCGAGAGCTATATTTGTAACAGGGACGCCATTATCGATGGTGCAACATCCTTTATGGATACAATTTTTCGAAAAATTGCAACCAAAATTTAAAATACCTTCACGTAAAGCTTTAGCGACAAAATACTTAGATAAAATATATAGAGAAATGCGTTTTGAGTTAAATGAGGAACTAAATGCTTGTAGTTACTTACACCTTCAGTGCGATGGCTGGTCTAATTTAAGAAATGAAGGAATAATAAACTTTCTTATATCAAAACCTCAACCTGCATACGTTAAAAGTTTGAATACAGAAAGTAATCCTCACACTAGTGAATACCTTAGCCAAGAAGTTGAAAAAGTAATGAAAGTGTATGGAGCAAATAAGTTTCTTGTACTTATTGGCGATAACGCTAGAAATATACAAAAGGCATTCGAATTAACAAAACTCAAATATCCACATGTTGTTCCTCTCGGTTGCTGTGCACATATCCTTAACTTGTTGTGCCAAGATATTGTAAAGATACAAGAAGTAACTGTGTTTATTATGCAAGCCATAAATATAATAAAAACTGTTAAAAGGAGTCAACGATTAAGGCCTTGTTGATAAAATCAAGGCAGGGTGAAGATTCTACACAAACACTAAAATTGCCTTGTGCTACAAGATGGGGAAGTCATGTTACTTCGTTAAAAAGTTTGAAAGCAAATAAGATAGCTTTGCAAATATTAACAGTTAGAGAAGATGTGGTAATTTCAAGAGATATTAAAGATTTAATTCTAAGTGATGATTTCTGGACGAAGACAGGGGAATGTATAAGTATTTTGGAACCAGTCACTGAAAGCATATTTTACTTAGAGAGCGACCAGAATCGTTTGCATCGCACATACATTACATTTAGAGATGTACAAGCTAAGATACGTTTTGCATTAAATGAGATTTCGACATTGAGCGAAGAAAGCAAACAGCAGATTCTAACATCAGTATCTTCAAGATGCAATATGGCAATGAGGCCAATACATTTTGCAGCATATATTCTAGACCCCAGGACTCTAGGAGTCGAACTTACTCAAGAGGAAGAACTTAAGGGTATGGAGTTTATCTACAATTTAAGCCAACACTTAAGTTTGTCAAATGTAATGGCAGATTTGGCGTGTTATAAAGCTAAAGAAAACTTTTGGGCCAGAGGATTTGTATGGAGCTCATTAGATAGCATTGAGCCCCTAATATGGTGGAAAGGTATTTGTGGTTCCACTGAGTTAAGCAAAGTAGCGATTCGTATTCTATCAGCTCCCTGTACTTCGGCAGCCACTGAGCGTTCCTTTAGTATCCAAGGCTACATACATAATAACAAAAGAAATCGACTTACAACTGAAAGAACTGAAAAAATTTCATTCATTTGTTATAACTGGAATCTTAAACATAAAGCTGAATGCGAGGACATTCAGTTTAATGAAGAAAATACCTTAGAAGCTTTCATTGAGCAAGTAAATGAACATAACAGTTTAGACGAAATAGAGCCTATCGAACCTATACAATTCATCGCTTGTAATAACTCTGAATCTGACAGTGATTGACTGTAGTTTTACATTTTACTTTCATCTCTTTCTTAATAAACTCAAAATCAAATTAAAAGTTTTTTATTCTGTAGGCTGCATAATAATATTGTCTATGTCCAGTATAGTGGACGTCTTGCGGCTGAGATGACGATGATGAAGTACAAAATCATAAACACCCAAAAATTTGGGTGTTTATGGGGTTTAAACCCAATAAACCCAAAACACCCGGTTTTTACCCACCAGACTTTAAACCCACCCAGGTGGATTGCCCATCTCTAATTATCATACATTAAAAAAATATTCCAATAGTTATCGTTGTGGTGAATGTAACATAAGATATATTACCAGAGGGAGACTTTATACAAAAGTCGATTGCTTGGGTACCTCTGTCCCATTCTCCCTTTGGTAAAGTACCTGTCTGTCAGTATGTTTGTTCTGGTATCACACGAAAACTAACCAAACTGCATACGGTTTTCACAGTTGTGTTCTTGAAAGCCTAACTTAAAATCTGGTATATGTTTCATGTCGATACGTTATCTAGAAGCGGTATAATTTATTAGTAATGGTGACATTATTATACCTAAATTTTGCATGCCATTGTTTTGGCAAAACACGTATGTTTATAACATATTATTATTAGCATCTGTGTGCCGTGTTTTTGGGCAAATAATTTTTTTTTATACAACTTTAGAATGACAAACAAGCTGACGGCCCACCTGATGGAAAGTGGTAACCGTCGCTTATCAGTACCATGGACATAATAGAATGTACTGTTTCGCCCATGATACCCCCATGCGTTGCCATTCCTGAGGACTCAGGTGTTATTCCTCTGTACTTCCTCATCATCATCATATCAGCCTCTAACTGTCCACTGCTGAACGTAAGCCTCATCCTTAAGGGGGTTTTGCCAGTAATTGTCATGCTTGGCAGGCGGATTGGCAATTGCAGTTAGGCTTTAGAGATATTTTAAGAGGTACGCGCTTCAAAAGGAAAACAAATCGTTTCTCTCCAGTCTGATCCAACGTCCAATAACCCACGCTCTGCAAGCGAGTCAACGAGGTGGCCCGCACATATTCTATTATATGTGCAATTATAGTATATATGCATATCAATAATTACTAGTACCGCATTCGAGTATTCTGATACTTCCCTATAGTTGACTGGGAGAGAATGTTTTCGGCATTAAGTCCGCCATGTACACATATCGTCATAGTCGTAGAATACGGATCTATATGTTTAATTTTTGTCAGATCCGTCAGTATTCTACGACTATGACGACATATTTACTAATGCATAAATAAATAAATTATTATTAGTTTACTTAGACAAACTGTACACAAAGTTGATGACGATGTTTAAAACGAAATTTATTTTTAATTTAAAAAAAAAACAGTGAGTTGAGACCTCATAGAGTGAACGTGTAGTAACCCGAATTGGTAATTCCACTTTGAAGTCGACTAAAAACTAAAAGGCAATTGTTATACAGTTTACAATTAACTTCATTAATTATTCACATTACCTTTCTAAGGAAGGTGAATGTAGGCGGCGGTTTTCATTATACATTTCAACATAGTTGATAATCCCAATAAATGGTTTCAATACTCAATCCCACTCGTATGCATAAAGTATGACCCGTGAAAGGCTTTGTGTTTGTTTAGGGTGTTCCGTTCAATCGTGGCCCGAACGCTGTGTGCCTTTATAGCAATTTTATGTGCAAACAAAGTTTACATCTCTCTTGATTGATGTTTTCTGCTATGTTTCTGCTAACCGCTCAAAATGAATATTGTTTATTTTATATTAATTGCCTGATGTGCGACTTTGCCTGCATGAATTTTGTAATTTTGTTTAATAGTATTCTGCGTTTTAAATTAATTTTTATTAATATTTCATTCTTCATTGTCCACTGCTGAAAATAAGCCTCCCCCTTGGGGGCTTTTGCCAGTAGTTTCCACGATTTGCAGGCGGATTGGTAATCGCAGTTAAGCTTGGGAGTCGTTTTAAGAGGGACGTTGCTGTCCTCCTCGTTGGATGGCCTATTCTATATATATATATATATATATATATATATATATATATATATATATATATATATATATATATATATATATATATATATATATATATATATAAATATGGATAGAACTGTGCTTATTTACGTATGTTTAGCGTTTAATATATTTATTTAACGTGCCGCCTACTCATTCATTCTTTAATTCCTTCTACCTATAGAGGTATGTTTTATCTGGAAGAGAGTACTTAGTAATTTCTTTTAGCTTTCTCTCTTAGCAAGCAAGAAGGTCAACAAATATATCTTAGTTACATGACGTAGATAAAGTCGCAGGCAAAAGCTATACAAGCTTTTGTATAAAACGTAAGTCTAAAGTTGTGTTTACTTAAATATTTAATATACATTTTAAAATCTATGTCCAAACGGACGGAACCATGGTAAAAATTGTACAGCTGGTATAACAGTACAGCTCCAATTCATGTCCAGTATTCACAAAGAGATAGCTCATGTTTCATTCTTCCAGCGTTTCTAGCTACCACTTTGTCAATTTTCGAAATCATTTGTTATTTACTCGTTAAAAGTATAACAGACATAGCTGGAATTTTTCCATATTGGTTTACAACTGACAGACCTCATGGTAATAAAAATAAAAAAAAATATAACCGATTTGAGAAATGCCTTCTTTTTGAAGTTGGTTGAAAATAGTGTAAAATACTGACTTAACACGTCTTTTAAATAAGAAACACTGACATTTTTAGAGGAAAACTTTGTACAAAAGTCGTTTGTTTGGGTACCTCTGTCACATTCGGATGAAACACTAATGGGACAGAGGTACCGTGTTTGCATGGCTGTGTTTTTGTTTGAAGAGTGGGATATGGCGTGAATTTATAGGATACAGAGGAATAACACCTGAGTCCTCGGGAATGGCAACGCATGGAGGGTATCACGGGCGAAACGGTATACCCTGTTATGTCCATGGTACTGCTCATGTCTATAGGCGACGGTTACCACTTTCCATCAGGTGGGCCGTCAGCTTGTATGCCATTCTGTTGTATAAAATAAAAGATTCATTTTTACTTATCCGTATTAATATTATGCGTTTGTTTCTTTGTTACCTCTTAGCTACTGAACGTATTAAGTTAAGCAGCTTAACCAATTGCTATGAGATTTGGTATACACGTAAAAGGGGCTTATGTTATCCCATAACTATATGGGATAGAGATAACATACTTTACTTCGTATCCCGATTATTGAATATATCTCGGCCATGCGAAAAAAGTTGCGGGTAAAAGCTAGCGTATTTGTGAAAATGGTTTTTCATAATTTCATATCATCATCACCCGTTAATTGTTTACTATTGAAATTAATTGTCCACCAATGAATAGATCTTTCCCATAAGGAGGGTTTCATATACTGAGATAAAATTGCAGTAAAACAGAGTGTGAGAGATAGAGATAGCATTCTTTATTTGTAATACATAAAAGTTTGGATAGTGCAAAAAAGTGAAAATGATTTATTTCATAACAAAATTTTGGTCTGAACTTCCTCTGTATATATCACAGGTGTGTTTGTTACCTTCGAGCGCCTTAACGGTTTAACTAATCACTATGAAATTTGTTACACACGTTCTAACATATCCCGGTCACGCGAAGTCGCAGAAACAGCTAATAACACATATATATATATATATATATATATATATATATATATATGTTATGAAGAGGTAGAACTATTTGTGGACTATTCCTGTTGTAGCAACATAACACTTTTTTTTATCTTATGAATGGCAAACGAGCTGACGGCCCACCTGATGGAATGTGGTAACTGTCGCCTAGACATGAACATAATAGAGTATACTGTTTCACCCATGATACTCCCCATGGCCATTCCTGAGGACTCAGGTGTTATTTCGTCGGTCGGTAACATTCGGTATGTATATGTTTCGCCGAGCGTATTTCTCATCCATCATAGCAAAAGGCGAGCGTACCACCATCTCTCTTTTTAATTTGGCTTGTTATTTAAAAATAAATTTTATTTGTATA